AGAAAACTAATGTGCCAGATGTTTCAGGAGTTTTACAGCACCCTGCAAAGTGAAAATAATGCAACTGAGATTTGCTTGTATTTTAATTCCTTCTTTGCAAAGCTAAAAAGATAGCATTTTACTCTCCAAGATTGGAAGCTTGAATGCTTCGCATGTTATGATTTTCAAAGCCTCGGATTTGATACGAACAAATAAATAAAATGCACCATATCACTGTCTTATACGTCACCGTGAAGAAGCAGAAACTTGTGAATCATCTTTCTGAGCACTCGTAGTTAAATCAGGTTGACAGACTGATTGTCTTTTGCCAAGCACGCATAAAATTCCCTGAGTGGATAGATCTGCTGATTGTGGTCATCTTATTTCATCTAACCCAGTCTCACCTTACTGAAGGGCAATTGAATCCCAGTAACGTTCTTTTCACTCTGAACTGTGGTGTCCAAGGTTCGTTACACGCGTTAACTACACTAAAATATGTGTGAGCCTGTGTGTTTGTACCAATCAGCTTTATTCAAGCCAAGAACAAAAATTTCCCTCTCATTCTCGGAACCAGGACTTATGGCCCGTAAAACTCTTACCGTATATTTCTAAAAGCTTTCCTACCAAATATTTTTGTTTAAATGATACGAACAAAGATTAGTTCCAGTGTGTCGGAATAGGTACATCGAACGTCTGCTAGTAAGACCACCTTGGGCTAAAAAGGTGTGCGGCCCCCAAGTAAAGGAAGTGAACTTTATTTCCAACAGTTTGATTAAAACAGTGTATCCCCTCTGCGGATTGCATGAGCCCAGAATGAAGAGAGAGTTGATGTGAGATCCGACCACTTTAGTCATATAACTCGACGTGATTCAGTTAAGATTAAAAGCGGTTTGATGAATAGTGAGCGTTTCTCACGAATATCAGCTTGAATTTTGCGTCTGCGGACTCGTCATTTTATGAATTGGGCTGTGTATGGCTCAAGCATCACCGTCGTTGGTCAACCTGCGCCTGTTGGGTTAGCCCACAACGACTGGTGGATAAGAGGGGGAAAACCGAGACTAGGAAAGAATGAATTAAAACCGGAAAATCATGAATTTCTTACAAACAGTGCTAGGTATAGATTTTAAAATCCTCAGGGATAAAACATGAGCTAAATGGGATTTGGAAACACGGTTGATGCGGTTTGCGTCAAACCAGACAGGAGATTGGACGAACTGGAAACGAAAGCTAGATTCCAAACTCAGGAATGCAAATCCCACCTCAAAAGTGGTCGGAGTCGGGTGGACAAACGGATGAAAGTTTTATTGTTCGCTTAGGGTTCTATGTAGGGATAAGCGTGCAGTGGGCAAAGAACCATTGCCTCGTATGATGAATGAGAGAAAATGTTGTTCAGCAATGGATGGTTTTGACGGATCAGCATACTACGAACATAATATCCGGAAGAAATATAAAATAATCGCGATTATCGTATCGAATCTGTGATAATGTGAGGTGCCAAGATGAACATTTTTGTGGTGGTCCAGGAAGGCTCCACAACCGCACAGCAATATGTAAACCCCCTTAATGGTTGTCTCGTTTTAGTTATCCGTGGAAAGCATGGTGACAGTAACGTTTTACAACAGATTAAAAAGGTTGATCAGGATATACGACATTTCAAAATCGTGGTTGCTGTTCCCAGGATTCCAGAGACTCAGTTGACGAGTTGAGTCATACTGAAAACATTTGGGGCGCATTGAGCAGATGCATGTATAAACTAGAATAGATTGTTTGCGATGTTGAGAAGCCAAAGACGTGTTCATCATTGAATGATAGACAGCATTTTCAATAGCTCTACAAAAAGTAAGCCAAAACGATAGACTTTGACAATAGAACATTCACTTCATCACCAAAAGTTTTTTCTCTAAACAGTACCGGCTAGTCCTTACACTGTTTCACAACACTGAGACAGAGCAAGTGGGTTGAAATCGGACGGTGCTTTTGTGGTCAAGTTATTCACGCTATCCTAAATAACCCTAGGGTTCTCTTGAAACTGCTTTCCTCCTAGAATCAATCCTAAGTCAGCCTTCACACTATGAACCCCATTCAACGGAAACATGCAATCGATTTAACGGTCTACAAGTTGAGATCAGATGGAACGATAGCAAAGTCTGCTCAAAATCCAAAGTGATTTTAAACGCAATAAATACGAATAACAATTGGTTATCAGTAAACTGAGTAAAAATCCGCAAAGAATTTGATCTCGTACTTTCATGAGGATAATTTGAGCATTGGTGTTAATGATATTCGATAACCGTACTGGAAATAGACCACGTATGGGTGAACTCAATGGGAATATAAGATTCTTACTTAGTGAAATGGTTTCCTCTTACCGCGTAGCGCTTGTTTTAACCCAATCTGATACTGTGTATGACTGATTAATATGGAACCCGAAAGGATGAACAGCAGTTGTATTGTATTGTATTGTGTATAACTTTTGCAAGCACTGTAGCTCATATTTCAGTTAAAAAGCATACACGCTAACCGTCACAATGTACCTAATCAACGGGGAGAAAAGTTTTCGCAGGCATGAACACATTCATAATCCAAGGTTAAGACAAAGTTCACTCATTGTTCGCTCTTTGTTTGTGAGTAGACGAGCAAGATACGGTATGGGTGAATTGCGGTATGCATTAATTCGAGATGAAATTTGACGAAATTGGGAGCGTGTTGAATGATAGGAATGGCAAAGTGTCAGTTCTGTATACAATGGGTGGTCCGGATCTGTGAGGATCCTCTCGGCAAATTTCACACAGGAAGTTACGTGATACTCGGAAAGCTTTACAGCTAATTTATTCACAGGAATGGAAGAGACACGACTAATCATGGTTAGACCGCGTCGTAAGACTTTGAAGTCCTGTTTGATTAAACCAGGAAAAATAAACGGGGACCAGTAGAGTAAGATGGGGAAAACACATTGATAAACAAAAGTAGAAATAACTGACTGGGATGCGCGAAACTGCCTGAGCTTTCGTATTTGAA